AGCTGGAGGAAGGGGAGAGGGAGCTGCTGTCCAGGCAGGAGCTGGAGATGTCACTGACTGGAGGAGTGGAGGAGTGGTTGCATTCCCAGCTCACCCTGGGTCACAGGCTGAGCACCCTCTCAGGACAAGACAGACAGTGAGGGGCCAGAGCATGTCCAGAGGAGGACAACAGAGCTGGGGAGGGGTCTGGAGCACAAGTCTGATGAGGAGCAGCTGAGGGGGCTCAGCCTGGAGAAAAGGAGGCTCAGGAGGGACCTTCTTGCTCTCTGAAACTTCCTGACAGGAGGGTGGAGCCAGGTCGGGATCGGGCTCTGCTCTCAGGGAATAAGGGACAGGAAAAGAGGAAACGGCCTCAAGTTATGCCAGGGGAGGTTTAGGTTCGATATTAGGGAAAATATCAAAGAGGGGTCCAGCCCTGGCACAGCTGCCCAGGGCAGGGTTGGAGTCCCCATCCCTGGAGGGATTTAACAGACATGTGGATGTGGCACTTGGGACATGGGTTAGTGTTGGCCTTGGCAGTGCTGGGGGAGCTGTTGGACTCAATGGCCTCAGAGGGCTTTTCCGATTTTAATGTTCCTGTGATCCTGCTCTCCTGGGGGTTTGTGTCCGTGGTCTCTCTGCTGGGCTCTTTTCCCGGCTCCTGTGGCGCTGCTTGGCCAAGCCAGAGGACTAAGGCCTGAGCCACAGCTCTGCACCCCTGGACTGAGTGGTGGGATGTGCCCTGTTACTCTGGGAACCCCCCACCCCCTGCTGCCCCTGGGCTGTGGTAGGTGGGGTTCACCTGGCCCCGATGAGCCCCCGGCTATGCCGGTGTGGAGACCAAAGGCTGGTGGGATTTCTGTGGTTGGGGGTGAGGCCACTGTAGGTCCTCGATAGCTGCCAGGTTTTGGGCAGGGCGGTGCTGGCAGTGGGCTCCTGCCTGCAGGATTGGCCCCTCCAGATGTGCTGCCACACGCTGCCTGATTTCAGCCACACTTGGTCCCTTCGTGGCCATGGGGGCTTTAGCTGGAAAAAAGCAAAGGAATTGGGGAAGAGGAGTCTCGCCATTGCCTCAGCAGAGCCGGGGCTGTGCCGGGTGACACTGGGGTGCACAGGAAGCCCTCCTGGCAGGTGGAGGGTGAGATGCACCTCATCCCTTGGGGTGAACGGTGCTGGTGTGGGGGAGCCGGGGCTGATTCTCCTCTTGCCTTTCCCTCAGGAAGAAGAGACGAAGCGGCTGCTGGAGCCGGCAGCCAGCCCTCCCAGCAAGGTGCTGAATGGAGCGGAGCAGAGCTACCACAACCTGCCCTCGGCACGCACCGACGAGCAGGCCATGTTGTCCTCCATCCTCGCCAAAACGGCCATGTAAGCCCCAGGCCACGAGCGCCCCAGTGCCAGCACCGCGGGGCGGGCAGCACACCCTGGGCACCGCGCTGACCCTGCGACGGGCACACAGCTGGGCGGCTGCCTGGCTGCGGGTCCCACTGACCAGAGGTGCTGAGGGGAAGGAGGGAGCTGTGGCAGAGCCCCCCACGTCCCTCTACCTGTAGACAACCCCCTGCCTTGGCTTTGAGCCCCTTGGGGACACAGAGATGAGAATCCATATGTGAGGTGCCCCTTGGGCCTGGGTAGCCCCCTGCTCCAAACCGGGATGAGCAAGTGACTGCATGGGGATGTGGAGTGGATGGCTGGGGGGGCACCAGCACTGTGTCCCCTTCTGGGGAGGCTTCCCCTCAAATGCCCAGGGGCAGCCTGGGTGGGAGGGCTTTGGGATGCTCATGCTCCCATGCCTGGCACACTCATGTCCAGCTGGCATCATTCATGGGGTGAGTTTGGCCTTGAGATGTTTGTTTTGGGGTGCTGGAGCGTGCTGGATTTTGGCTGCCCTCGTCAGAGGATGCTCTGAGATGGGGAGGGAACTCAGGGGGAGCAGTGAGCCTGCAGCGGGACCCGCTCTTGTGTCTCTGCAGCAACATCATCGATGTGTCGGCAGCGGATTCCCAGGGCATGGAGCAGCATGAGTACATGGACAGAGCTAGGCAGTACAGGTGGGATCTGCCCCTCTCCCTCGGGGTGCCCGCAGTCCCTCACAGCCACGTCCCTGGGCAGGGCCCCAGGGGTTTGGCCTGAGGGGAGTGAACTCGGCACACAGTGGGGCTGCCCTGCCAGGGAGAGCAGCGTGCAGCCCCATGCCTCTCCTCTGCCCTCCCAGCACTCGGGGGAGGCCCATGGCAGTGCTGGCAGCAGAGCCCAGAACAAAGGGCTCCTGTGTTCACCCAGCCCTTGGGGCAGATGGCAGTGGGCTGGATGTGACTGCTGCTGCTTGAAAGGTGTACTTTCAGTAGCTTCCAGCTCTCCAACACAGCAGGAGCTGGAAGCTCTCTCATCCTCTTGCTGTGGGGAGCAAAGAGGGCTGGATGCGGGGAGTGTGGCAGCACTGCTCTCCCTCCCTCCCTCTCCCTCGGGGGTGCTGGGTGCCCAGGGGTACCACACCCATCTCCTGGGTCTCCCTGTGTCTTGGCACGGTGCTGATGCTGCTCCCCCCTCACAGCACACGCCTGGCCATGCTCAGCAACAACCTGACGCACTGGAAGAAGCTCCCGCTGCTGCCGTCTCTGACTAACCAACCGCACCAAGTGCTCGCCAGCGACCCCGTCCCCTTTGCAGACCTGCAGCAGGTGAGCCGGGCCGGGGTGAGTCCTGGGAGCCTGCAGTGTTCCCCGTCCTGGAGGAGCAGCATTGCCCTCCCCACTTGCCCAGAGCCGTGGCACGACTTGTTAGTGCTGCCTTGTTAGTGCTGCTTTGTTAGCTGACTTGTTACGACTTGTTAGCTTGTTAGTGCAGGTCAGGTTTAAGGCCTCGATAGATCTGGGGGGCAAAGTCCAGGACAGGTTTAGGACTTGTTAGGGCTGGGGGCTAACCTCCCGCGACAGTTTCTTCCGGATAAGCGGGAGTTGCAGGAGCCAGCGGTGACACGGCCGTGTCCTCGTGCCCGCAGGTGTCCCGGATAGCCGCCTACGCCTTCAGCGCGCTCTCACAGATCCGCGTCGACGCCAAAGAAGAACTGGTTGTACAGTTTGGCATCCCCTGAGCCTGCCTCCAGCACTGCCGCTTCACCGCTTTGGGTTGTTTTGGGGTTTCTTTCCCATTTTTTTCTCTTTGTTTCCCTTCCCTCCCCATGGTGCTGCCACGGAACTTGGACAGATGCCCTGTTTCCTACCAAATGCCAAGACGCCCATCACCGGCACGTCGAGCCCACCTGCATTGCTCGAGGCTTTCTCCTCCTCGTGGGTGGGTGTGTGTGGGGAGGGGGCCGTGTCACCTGGACGCTGCCTTGCACAGGGATGAGCACAAAGGGAACAACTGGCACAAGGAGGCCCCGGTGTGGGTCAGCACTGTGTGCCACGTCACCAGGACAGGTGGGCTGGAGCCAGGTGGATGTGATGCTCTGCGTGGGGCCTGGTGGCTCTGACAACCCTCTCTGCTCATTTTTACATGTTTAGACCTTTATTTTGGGTTGTTTTGTTGTTTGTTTGTTTGTTTTGTTGTTTTTCTTTTTGTTTTTCTTTTTTTTTTTTTTCCTAATTATTGTTTTTGGCCACAGTAGATAAAACCATGTTCATCCAGTGCCTGTCTCCGCTGTTCTCTGCTGGCCATGGCATGGATGTTGTGGGAGAGCCCAGGGGGAGCTGTGCTGTGGTGGGGAGGGGACACACATCCCACTATTCCTTGTCACCATCATGACCCCTGGGGCCAAGAGGATGCCCCTGGGTAGAGGATGTGCGATGACCCACCCTTAAGGGGAAGGAAGCACCAAAGGTTTTTAAAGGCTCTTGGTCAAAAGGAACAACAAAAGTCAGAGGGTCTGCAAACAATCAGAAAGTTTTATTAGTAAATGACACATTGGGCATGGAAATTGGGGGGTACTTTTTTGTGGACAGGTTTTTCCCCACCCTAAAGATGGTTTTCTGGCTTTCTATGCAAATTAGTTATGCACAGTCTGTTCTTTTAGGCCTTTCTGGAAGTGGGTTGGAGGGTTTTGGTGGTCCTAATCCCTTTTGTATAGTCCATTCCCACTTCTTGGCCTCACTCCTGTGCTTGTGCTGTAGTGTGTTGTACTTATCTCCAGGAGCTACAACAAGGATGTTTGTCCCAGAAAAGTGCTGCCCTGTCTCCACCTGGCCCCTTCTCCAGCCACATCTTATGGTGTATTAATATCCTTGGTTATTACCAACAATTCTTGTCTTGTTATTACCAACAGTCCCTTGTTGGCTCCACAGCCATCTGGTTATCAGTGTTTGAGACGTGTTAGCCCCTTCTGGGGATCGAGAGCTCAGTGGGTCTCACTTTGGACCCCTGTTTATAGGGTTGTTAAAGAATGGGCTTTAGTCGTCATAATTTTCTATCCTGGCCACGATTTGAGTTGGTGACTTTCTTTGAAGGTTCAGTAACAAAAATACTACTCCACTCAGGTTGTTACTCCAGGAAGAAAAGTAGGTTTCTGAGGCTGTTAACAAACAGATGCTTGTTAGACACCTGTTAGATCCTGGGAACAGGCTGTTTCTGATAAACCGAAGCGAGGCTTAGCCCAGGTGCTGTTCATTAAGGCTGAGGCTTAACTAGCATTTCCCAGATCATAGTGTGGCCTGGGTCTTGGTGCGGAGGCACCACCACAATCCCCACTGTGACTAAAGTCAACTTTTCTGGGCCTCTGCAAGATGATGTAGAGCTGTGAGCACAGGGACAAGCCCAGGATCCCCCTCAAGCAAGGTAAGGTCCCACTAGTGGGTCAGGGCACGGTTGGGGGCTGGTGAGGACCCCTGCCCAGCTAGCACTGCGGAGCAGAGTGGGGTGCCTGCATGTGACACATCCCCAGAGTCCCCCACGTGTCCCCTGATGCACCGTGGGCTTCCATGTACTCCTTGCTCTGCCTGTGGCCCCACACGCTCCCCTCCATGGGCACCCCAGGGCCCCTTGTGTGTCCCCCCTTTGGAGTGGGGGCCTGAGACC